TTTCGACCATGTTTACTAATTTGCATATATCTCAAAAATAAAACGATATTTAGCTTAACCAAGTATACCAGGATTCTTAGGACACATTACCCTACCAAACATCAAAGTATGAGCCAAATCGATTTTTCAAGGTTTGCCACCACTTGTTYGATTTTTTCGGACATGCACTCTTAAAATACTCATTGTTTTGATTCTAGACTAAATTTCTAGCTAAATTATATGGAAAATGTCCACTATATTCAAAACTGGAGAATTGTGAGCAGCAAAAAGCGATCTTGTAACCGAATACTCGCGTGTTCCAGGTACTGAGGTAGAAAATAAGATGATAGATAGAAAATGGGAGAGAATGAGATGGGATATAGTTCTTTTATTTCTTATAAGAATGCCAAAGCAAAAAAAAAAGACCAGTACAAGAAGTCTTGTACTGGAACAAATTAGATTAAACTAGTTCAAAAATATATTCAACCTGAACTACAACATAGACAAGTCGTAGGGGCATTTACACTGCGCGATTCAATTCGTATACTACAAATCACGAGACAATCGTGCCGTGTAAATCAGCCTTTACAAGTTAATAGTACATTAATCTTACATGATAAGTTATATGTTTTAGTGAAAATGGAATTGATGATTGTCAATCCAGGCTCTTATATCTAATGTATGCCAGTTTTTGCCAATTGAATTCTCTAGTTATATTGTTATTACACTGGAACAGAGTTACTGACTCTGACTGGAATATGTGGCTTCAGAAGTCGTTAAAAGCACAACATAAGAGGTAAGAAAAGAGACTCATCGTCAAAATTAAGTCAATGTAATGAAGCGACCCATTGCAGCTAGTTTGGCAAGGTAGCTTGTAAGTAAGCTTATATAATTTGTTGAAAGGTCCGACAAAACGTGAGTAGCAAAATAACAGCATTAGCACATCACTAGCACATTATGACTTTATTTACATCTAGATAAAAGACGTAATAGTTGCTTTTCAGTATTCTTTACGATTGAATATCTGTTTTGCATCCAGTTGAAACTTGTGATAAACTTTCAACAGTTCTTACCTTAAATCTTTGCCATCATCGTCCATTGGTAAAAACAAATACTCTGCTATGCAAAAGCTAACCAATTGCCATGTTAAATAAAGTCAGTGCTTAAAACTAAAAGGCAACAAGAACTTAATAAATCTGTTAAAATCTAACTGCAAACTGGATTTCTCTTCTAGAAATAAAGATGGCGGAAGGAGCTGGGTAAACGAATCGCATCTCCTATAACCAATCAGATTTCGTCTTTCATTTTTTCGAAGGTTTGCGCATTTCCGTTTCCGGTGGAGGTGTCACATCCATCGATCAAATTATTTATATTATTGGTTTGGTTTTTAGCAAGCATTTGAATTGTGATTAGTATAGGGTAAAATATTTCTGTTACTACCAGGTACAGATAGTTACAATTTTTTTAATTCGATTAACGAGCGTTTATGGCCAGTAAAACATGAATAATTAGTATTGATATCAGAAATATACTATACCGGTTTTGTACATTTGGGAATCATAACTTTACGTACACGACGATAGTATGTTTTAAGCAAAGGCAGCCGTACATTTTCTTATCTCGAGCTAATCTGTCAAGATCTCGAGTTTTTTAAAAGTTTAAAACCCTTTACACATGTTTACGGTAGAGTTTTGTTAGTTTTTTTTTGATCCGACGGTGTTACAATCATCTGTCCTTCTTTAAACACACAGCCACCAGCTTATTAGCCAATCAAAGCTCGGTTGAGACCAACAAAGCAAAACAGCCAGCCAATAACGGACGATCTTTGAAATGAATGAATACAGAGTTTGAACACACAAAGAGAAGCAAAACGCATAATTACCTCCCTAGAATTACTTAAAACAGTTTTACAAGCTCGTTCACTTCTAGAAATAAAATGCGGTAAATGAGAAGTTTTTTATAGCCTCGTCAGGCCATTTAAAAAATATTTACGCAGAAAAACTTGATATAAAAACATRTATTAAAGGGAACAATGATGCATTAGATGGACCTGCCATATGTGCTAGACAATAGAATAGGCCAGTGTTCTTCAATGAAATGTTGATAGCCTATTGACACAGGGCTCTTTGAATATATTCTATTGATCTCAACTAGCGAAAAAATACACGTGCAGCTTGCTAAAAAGTCAACTTATTCTGCGTATTCCTCGCGAATGCAATTATTCAAAGATGGAGACAGTATTTGACCAATGAAAAACAATGTCATAGAAATGTGTAACGATAATTGGTGGAAGGATATTTGCCTCTGACTGGAGTCCTTCCGCTACGACGAGATGGATGGAATTGAGAGGCGAACGAGGAAAAGCACATAGTATCTGAGAGGCTACTACACAGTGAAAGTGCGGAGGATCTTTTTGTAAAAAAAGTGTCCGTTTATTTTGTGTGCGTCTTCCAACCATTCATCCAAAGAACTTTCAAAAAGGTAAGGGGTAAACGTAAAGAATGGCAATAGCAAAGTCGGTTGTTTTTGGAAAGTCGTACAACTTCAGACCTGTAAAGTCGCTTTATTTCATCATTGTGTTTTTTTTCTATAGCAGGTGTGCACGTGACCCTAGAAGGGCCATTCATTGTAGCTTTCTCTCTAAGACATTGACAGAAAGGCAACGACGTGGCGAACACCGAATACAATACCACCTGTACCACGGAATACGTAATCTCCTAACTTACTATATTCTCGCCTTTGCCGTAGCCTGGATATGGCCGATTTTGGCCAAAATACAAGGCCCTTGTCACCAGTTGACTTCAAACACAACGACTCGCGGACCACCTCGCTGTTTTTTCCGACAAGTCTCATAGACGAACAGAACGGGAACAAACCCGAAAATAAAAACGGAGTTTGTGAAGACTGCATTGAAGATTCTACAAAATCTAAAGTAAATTCTACACAACCGCAGACAGCGACTTTAGGGCAAAAAAAGCTCGGGTTTGCTAGTGAAAATTCGATGTTTCACGACTTCCCTACTTCGACCACATTTTGGTCGCCGGCAAGCATCGATGATGCGTTTGTCCAAACAGGAATTCCCCCCGTAAACGGAGTTCACTTTTCAACAAACACACACWTGCTAGGTTCGCCTAGAAGACCACTCGCAGCACCGGCAATTACAACAACCATTAGTCAACAACCTCGAAGGCCTCTACAAAATTCTTCACAATACATAGCCGGGCAAGGAAAACCAGTGGCAAACATCAATTCTCTAGCGTCAGGTTGGAATGGTAATCAGCCGCACTCTGGATGGCCGCAACAGCAGCCGTCAACAACTTGGGGAAGAAACTATTCATCGCCAAACAACACGATTTTGAATAGAAGCTCAAGCAGACCTTCCTCTCTTACTTTTCCACCATCTTCGCGATTCCGTTCTAATGGTGGTTCAACTAGACCGTCATATACTGGCAACTCAAGGCACGGAATCTCCACTCAAACGATAACACAAGGTCTTCAAAGTTTAAACCTGAACGGACAACATCCGATCGACGGTACAATCTTGGATAATATAACTGGCTTAGGAAACTCTCATGGTACAAACAACGAACTCTCCAACTCATTTTATTCCTATCAAGTAAGTTTTTTTTCAATCTATTTTATATAATTTTCTTTTAGATTTTTGTATGATTTATATTAAAAGAATTTAGGTTTGTTCTGTTAACGGGAATTTATCATCAGTAAATTATTGCAAAAAGCGTCGCAATAAAACTAAATGACTCGATTGGAAACTTTATGTGTAAAGTCAGGTACGAAATAAGTTTTGACACTGAACTGGCTTCCGAGTCTTGCATGTCCTAAAGAGAAAATTCAAAGAGCTTTATGCAGACTAAAATCTAAGGAAGATTTATGGCTACCATCTTCAATACTATACATACATTAATGATGAAATCCTGGTTACACAGAACCTACAGCTGCTTAGAACAAAATCAGAAAATAAATTTTAGAATTCTATAAAAAGGTTAAAATTAGAAATGAGTGTGTCTTGGTTTTTACACAGGACTCGATGAAATTCCCTTCACTTGAAACTCGATTGTTAGATATTATTCGTTCGCCGTCAGACCCACCGGACAATTTAGCTGGTAAGTAAAGAATGGTTTAGTTCTCATACAAAAGAAAAAAAGGAAATCTTTTTCAATGTCAATGTTTAAGTTGTTTTGTAGCGCACTTTTCTTGGAATAGATCTCTTCCTTCGAAAAAATAGCATTTCAACATCCCCAGTTTCATTGTTTGTAGTCAGTTGTGATGTTGGCTTTAAAATCTCCCGGCAACTAAAGGATATTCGATATTCGTTCCTAAGGGAGATCTACTTATCAAGAAGACATGTTTTCAGCATCGAGTTTCTTTTAAAAAGATTCCCTTTTTCACATTATTTCTTACAGTTATCTAGAAATGTTTTGCTTGTCAGGTTTAATTACATTTTCGTTCAAATGTTTCATCTATGTGGAGTTGGACACTCGGTACCTGTGAAGATTCATGTTAATGTTTTATAAGTATTTATAGTCAAAATTACAAAGACCTTTTGCAATGACTCGTATTTCCTACATTTCGCTTGATTTTACTTGATATTATGAATGAGATAGATGTGACATCGATTTCCTTGACTAGATGGAACTTCACCACCGTCGTAATAGCTATATGTTCACTTGGTTTAAATTTCATTCAATCTTTAACATCTGTTTTGACTATTTGACAAATTTTAAATGATCTCCATTTAGTTTGGTCTAAAAGAATATCAACTGCGAACAGAGCAGAAAACTATTTTTTCCTCGCATAATATAGAACTGAATAAAACTGCCGATCAAACGTTCTAGAAATCAAAACCAGATGTCCGAGGAAACCATTTGGGTGCTGCACTTTAAACTGTATTTTAATACTTTTAAAGTAATTTTCATATCAATGGAAAAAAAGCTTGACTTTTCAATAATACAAATACAAAATACTCGACTGCTTTGAGTTTTCGTGGACTGTGTGTTTCTTAGTTCTTTGTGTATGCCCTTTTAAAATATAGTTCATTCTCGTTTGTTATTGATTGTAACCACTTTGTGGTGTATTTTTCATCTTTCCTTTTCTTTCCTCTTATCTTTTAAGCTGCCATCGTCTTAATCAATGTAATATGTGACTCGACATTATTTCAATGATGGCTTTTTGGTTTACCGATGATGCATTCATCTCGAATAATGCTTTGCCTGATCAATGAAGTTAAATTAATTCGATCCGATCGAAGTGAGATTTTTAGCGCTATTCGCAGAAYGTCAAATGTAAAATAAACTGACAAATGCAGAGCTAGAAGAGAAAAATAAGTCATATCCCAAGCCCTAAGGTGATAAATAAGATTGACATTTGCATAAAAAGAAGACGATTGCGAAGCAGGGGATGTCTCGATCTGTTCCTTGATCGCGTCAAACTGTCACATTCATACAACAAAATTCATGAAACAATATTTTATTTTGCCGAATGTTTTCATATCAATACCGGTCAAAATATTGCCTTCCTTGGCCTTTCAGCGTTTTAAATCTAAAAGCTTTTCATTTAGCTTGCGGCCCAGCTGCAAAAAAAAAAAACAAATTGTTGTCTACATTTCCCCAACGATGACAAAGTTACTTTGTTACGGCAATACTTTCTTACAATTTCGGAACTACTAAACCATTTGAATATTTKGAATATTTTTCTTCAGCTTTGCTAAATGGCTGAATGAGCTTACATCACATTTTTAGAATAAATACATCCTTTCATCGCGGAAAGATAAACCCGTCATTTATGTTGTGAAATATTCGTTCCCGTTCCTCCAATGCTTTTTTACGGAACGAAAACCTGGATTAACAATAAAAAGAGGGTTTCTCACGACTAAAGTTATGCCAGCGATCAGACAAAAGCGGCGGTCTTAAAAGTTTTTGGTGTCTTCTCAGAAATTAAAACTAACCGCTTTTTSTAGACACTGTCTCCGCTTTGAAATGGTTTGATATAAGTGACTGGAGCCAAAAGAAGAGCGCCATTCGTTTAAATTAGTGAATACTTTAATTATATTTAAGACAAAAGTTTGTCTTTAAAGATTGTTTGAGAATGGGATATGGATCAATTTGTGATATTTCACTTCGAACTTCAAGTCATACAATTTATTCCTCCAACAATAGTCAGAAAAAGAACAGCATATGTACTATTTGTTACTCAATCGCTATATTTCCCCTTTTCACTCATTAATTTAGTTAATATTAACGATGTTTTAGCAGTGTTTTGAATATGAATAGCCTGAGTGCGATGTTTACAATCAAGTTATATTAATGCAGTTTGAAAAAGAATGTAAATTGGACCCATAAGGATCACAAAAACCGGAGAAAGCCGTCTGACAACTTATTTTTTCGCAGTTGTTGTCGTATATTCTCTGCGACCACCTGCCAGTTTTTTGCAAACTGTCGTATTTTGAAAGATATCCCAGGGTAAATGTGTTCTATCCAATAGCTTTTTGGTTCACTCCCAATTCGAGCAGTCCAGCAAGTATGTTACAACTCCAATCCCAAGAATATCGTTTTGATCGTCAGACGTCAAACCAGAAAATTCCAACATAATAACACTAGAGAAAGGCCTCGAGGAAAGATTTGCGAGTGCAATTTACTCTCATTAATTTAGGAAGAATCTCTTTATATTCAATGTGTGATATTTTTTGTCTTTTTCATAAAGCTGTTTTTAAAAAATGAAAGTGTTTTTACAGTTGTCAGGATGGAGGGATAGTAAGAAATGTTCAGTGGTAGGAATTGCTAGTCATTAGTGCAATATCAGACAGCGTCATGAAAAAAGAAATGACATTTCAAGTGCGCATCATAATATTCACTTCAATTCTTTGTAAATGCCTATGATTTTCTCGAACATTCCGCGTACGACAATCAGCTGGATATGACTTAAAAAGACTTGATAGCATGTCATTGTGGTTCCTTTTTTTTCTCAAGAAAAATGGATAATTTATAAGTGCAACAGCAAATTCGTATATTACAGGAAACGTTAGTTAATATGGGAAAAAGTATATTATATATGTATTGTGTCTTAAACAAGTAATCAACGTGTTTATCGGAAGAAAAAGTTAAACTTATCTCGATCAATTTTATTTTATTATTTAAAATTTTATATTATTGCCAAAATGAAATATTTTCATAGCTAGAACTTGCAACACAAAGGTTTTGAAACTCTTTGTCTCGTGTAAGATGGTAAGAAATCTAAGTTTCCTCGTAAAAGGTTTACAAACTATAATACAGGTGATAGAATAGACGCAGCCCACGCTTCCGACACTCTATAATTCTTTCATTCATTAATATTCAACGACTGTCTAGTTCCTTATTTCAAAGTGTCATTCTATTTGTAAAATTTGTATTTTTTTTCTTCTGTGCGAAGCACACATTCTGTAATGTATGGGAAATGATTAAAAAAAGAAAGGTGGACAAAATGAAAAATAAGAAAAAGGAAAATCATCTCAAGCCGCTTATTGTTGATCAATGACCACTTTTGTCATTAAAATCATGACTTTAAACACATTTTTTCAACTCACAAATTGGCGCTTTCTCTCCAGGCTGGCTGTCGACATAATATGCAATTAGTTTCTCAACACAAGAAAAGTAATRCTCAAAAAAGACGAGAGTACTTTGTTGTTTTCAATWAAAGCGTAAAACCATAGGACACAATTTTATTGTGCTAGTAACATTTCATAATGTACTTTGATATTCCTTTAGGAAACGCTGGGTAAATTTGATTTATTGCTTTACACTAGATTCCCTATCATTAGAATGCCATTGTGATTCTATTCCTATTTATGCGGTAAATATTCAAAAGTGATGTATTCAGTTTTGTAAATAGCCAGTTAAATATATGTAGAACTATTTACGACTGATAATTCGGAGCAAATAACATTATCATAAAGTATTATTTTTTTTGTTTTTCGTAAATGAAACATTTTGGCTGAAATGACACAATCTTAAAGCCCTTAACATGTCTAGGACTTATGCAAACGAGACAGAAATGTTGTTTTTTTCTGTTCTAATAAAAAAATACTCTTAAAGTTGTGAGATGTATTATTGAAAGGACTTCACTTGTTTTTATCTCAAAATCTTCATTTCGTCATGGATTCAACGAGGCTAAAGTCTGCGATCTGTCAGTTTTCGGTTCTATTTGGTCCACACTCAAACCTCGTATTAGAGTTCCCTTCATTTGTGTTTGACTTTCTTACTTGAATTAGACTCTTTATACTACTGGGTATCTTAATACTCTGTCAAGTAATCAATTAGAATATTTACACAACACCTTAATGTTTAATTTGGTAGAAGAAACACRACTATTTTAAACGATTATTTTTGACGAAGTTGTCAGTCATACAAAATTAATTTGGCGGTATCGGGTAGAGGGATAAGACCCAGTACCATAAGTGATCATTAGTATAAACCCAAGATTACTTAATGGTGCCTTTATTTACGGTATTATTTGTATATCTAAGACAATCTGGCAGTAGACAATTTAGAACTACTACTACATACTACCTTTAGAAAGTGTGGGTCTAGGTGGGATTACAATTAAAGGAATTTCAACTCAATAGATTTACTAAAACACGTCAAGAAAAAGAACAGTTSATCAAGGACTCGAAATTCCGGACAAAAGTAAACATGATCTATCTGATTAGTTATGACGTTCAATTTCGCTTTTGCACTGCGTATTGATTGCTTTATCACCGAGAGCTCGGTTACTCAATCTTGTCGTGTAACAATTGAATAAAATCTGAACAGAAAATGACATCGGTTCAATGTGCTTAGTGTGTCTGTTGCCACACCTAATCATTAAACAGAGTTCATGAGTCCAAAACTATCAGACATCTGAGTCAGACATCCGTTTATACACCTTGACTGACTTTGTGTTGATTGTACTATGGCATTTCTTGTGAAGTGCTCAGTTCTGACGGCACAGTATAACCGTAATTAGTGAATAACTTAAGGGAGGGTAAAGGGGGGAGGGCGAGGGTAAAGAGGGGGGGGGGGCGTACCGCAATCATTTGATCTAAAACCACTCACTTACAGTAGAGGTACTGAATTACTTGATTGAAGTTGCTAATTGTGCCCAAATATTGGGTGATTGTAGTTAGTTTCGGTGCGATCACCAGCATTTGAATATTGAACGAAACCAAATCGTTCAAAACACTAATTCCTTCTTTTCCCCAAGCATTCCGGTGCCAACTGCGAAAGAAAGGTGGCTCGCAGCAAGGAGGTAACACAAATGCTGTCTTTAATCTTTTTTCCTTAACAATGTTCTCTGAATTGACCGCTGATGTCGTTAACAATCTCGTGATCTCAAATAGTACAAGTCTATGACGTCATGTCGGAAGGAGGTTTTGACGAAACAAGATTAAAGTCGATTTTATAAAAAAGGATTAGTGAAAAATATGTACTTGAGAAGCATTTGGATAAACGACTAGTATAGACTATTCTACAGAGCATGCGCGATGTAGAATGTATGAAATTGTTCTTCTGATGCCCCTCCCCTGGGGATTTACACCTGCTATCAAACAAACATATGCCCGTACAGTTATTGGGTTGGAGCCACATAAATGCGTCTACAACTGACAAGGCATAAATAGACAGTGCTAATAAAGAGCATAACTGCCATATTTTAATCACTAGTCCTTTTCTTGTCAAGTTTGTTGTCTCCTTCATTTCCTTAATGAAAATAAGCTACCTATATAGACCTATATAGCTCACTAGGAACTATTAGCAACTATAAGTATCTTTAGAAAATGTTCTACCTAAAGCTGTCAAGGATTAGCTTAACAGCTTGACAATCGTGACTAAGCGTCTGGGGATATTGCATAAGACATTCGTGTTTCTTAAATCTTTACATAGCAGATGTCTTTATAAAGTAGTATAAGTGTCTTTAATTATTATGCAAACAGCTCGTTTTAATGAATATGATCGTGTTTTTTAGATCAAATCGTACCATCTCTTAGTTCTTCATTGAACTGTTCACCGAACTCGGACCAGGACTACACTCCCCGCTTTTCTAGAAAGGTGTTTGTTGGCGGTCTACCACCTGACATCGATGAAGGTAAACATGTCTAATAACTATCCAGTTCCTTCAATCCACACCGACCAAAACCATGCGATCTAGCAACAAGTTATCATGGTGATATGAGATTGCAGGCAAATTAGCCAGGAAGGTTTCTAGGTAGCGCTGAMAAAAATCGCGCACTTTAAAGGTTGAAAATTTGATGTCAATATTATGTAAGTGTCCAAAATGATGTAAATTTGATGTAAATGATTTAAAAGCAAATTTACATCAAATTTAAATCATTTTGGATACATAATATTTACACCAAATTTACAACATTTAAAAGTGCGCGATTTTTTGCAGTGTAGACACGTAGTTAGGTAGAGGTATGAATGGAATTATAGATTGGTTAGTGAAGCTATTGTTAGTGTAGGAAGGTTGATAAGTAGACACGTAGGAAGGTAGAAGTATGAATGGAGTTATAGGTTGGTTAGTGAAGCTATTGTTAGGAGAGGTTAGTAGGTAGACCCATAGATAGGTAGAAGTATGAATGGAATTATAGATTGGTTATCGGTGAATATATTGTTAGGGGAGGTAGGTTAGTAGGTAGACACGTAGGAAGGTAGAAGTATGAATGGAGTTATAGGTTGGTTAGTGAAGGTATTGTTAGGAGAGGTTAGTAGGTAGACCCATAGATAGGTAGAAGTATGAATGGAATTATAGATTGGTTATCGGTGAATATATTGTTAGGGTAGGTAGGTTAGTAGGTAGACACGTAGGAAGGTAGAAGTATGAATGGAGTTATAGGTTGGTTAGTGAAGCTATTTGTTAGGGGAGGTAGGTTGGTAGTTGGACACGTAGGTAGGTAGAAGTATGAATGGAATTATAGGTTGGTTGGTGATCCTTTTGTTAGGGGAGGTAGGTTGGTACGTAGACACGTAAATAGGTAGGAAGGCAGAAGTATGAATGGAGTTATAGGTTGGTTAGTGAAGCTATTGTTAGGGGAGGTAGGTTAGTAGGTAGACACGTAGGAAGGCAGAAGTATGAATGGAGTTATAGGTTGGTTAGTGAAGCTATTGTTAGGGGAGGTAGGTTGGTAGGTAGACACGTAGGAAGGTAKCAGTATGAATGGAGTTATAGGTTGGTTAGTCGAAGCCATTGTTAGGGGAAGTAGGTTGGTAGGTAGATACATAGGTAGGTAGAAGTATGAATGAAGTTATAGGGAATGTAGCTATTTGTCGAGGGTAGAGAGTCGAGAGTAAAAAGTCGAGAGTCGAGGATAAAAAGTCGAGAGTCGAGGATAAAATGTCGAGGGTACCAAATATCCTTTTTTGTGCAGATTTTATCATTTTCCTCTCATTCTCTCTCTCTCAACAACGAACTTAACTTGAATTTTGCACTCTGATATATTCGCTCATAAAATGTTTAAAAGAAACTAATTCGTTCATTGGCTGTGAATAAGACAGAGTCGCAGTTGGGCTTGGTGGAAGGTGGAAGAGGAAATCAAGGTTAAAATTAACCAGACAGACAGGACAGAACTTCTTTTATTGTTAGCCATTGCTGTAGAATCCCTGTATAGTATTCGTTGCAAAACAAAGGAGACTGTACTCTGATCATGGTCCCGGCAGTGGGCTGACCTAAATAACTCCAAATATCATCATGCATTGTAATGGCTGAGGGGATTTAAAGCTAGTGTAACGTCTAGTAGGTAGTTCAGAAATAGAGTGAAAACAGACTTGTCAAATTTAAGCTACGTTTGATTAGTAGCGTTTTCACTTTCATCATGAATGTACATACTGAAAACATTTACCAAACAAACAAATTAGCCAATCATAGCGTTCTTCTTGAGAGATATACACCTACTTGCGAAAACGTTGTCATAAAAATAGGACATTATTTTGTATTTTAGTAAAAAGGAATAAATTAAAAAGACAAAAGAAGATCACTGAGTCTGAACGCTTTCTTTTGTCTTGTTTTAATTTATTCCTTTTTACTAAATTCGAATGTTCTATTTTCTATGACAACGTTTCTGCAAGTAGGTGTATGTCAGGATTGTATTTTATTCAACAGGTCATACTAAAACTTTTTGAAAATACAGAAATGTTAACTTGTTTTAAGTCTCGCTTTTCGAATTTAAGCGAGTAAAAACATCGTATCGCATCAGGACTCAACTGTACAGGCTTAATTGTTTCATGAGGCGATCGATCCTCAGTCATCAGAGGTTTAATCATTAACGATTCAAATTCATTAGTTTGATTTATTGAAAGGAGGAATCGGTATATAAGATAAACGAATATTTTTTTACATTTTATGAGCGAATAAGACAGAGTTCAGAGCGTAAATTCAATTTGTCGTTGCCGTAATCTTTATAAATGTTACTGAGGTGTACGTGAGGAAAATTATAACGATCCACAAAAAAGTATATTTTGTAACCTCGAATTTTATATCCTCGACTCGCGACTTTTTACCCTCGACTCTCTACCCTCGACAAATAGATACACTCGGTTATATGTTAGTTAGCGAATCTATAATTGTTAGGGAGAGTAGGTTCCTAGGTAAATGAGTAGGTGCTATATGCATGTGTTGTAGATTGTTTATGGGAAGCAGCACTAGATAGATAGTAAGTTAGGATAGTAGTGAGTTTTATAGTAGATTTGAAGAGAAATAACAAAARGCATACCTTCTTTAACAGATGAGATTCATGCAAGTTTTTGCCGATTTGGCAGCCTTACAGTGGACTGGCCTCACAAAGCAGAGAGTAAATCGTACTTCCCTCCAAAAGGTAAGTCTTTTTTGATTTTTGTTTTCTTGTTAAAAAGAAGATCATTGTTAATATTCATGTCACCTCTACAATAGTAAGACCACATGATATTTTTTCTTTTTAAGGTTATGCATTCCTTCTCTATCTGGAAGAGTTATCTGTTCAAAAACTGATCGGAGCTTGTTACCGTCAGGACGACAAACTTTACTTGTGTGTATCAAGTCCAACAATCAAAGACAAACCCGTAAGTGTATTTAAATGACCCTTATGTCAGTCTTTATGAACAGTAATCAGTGGTAGTGAATTAGTTTTATTATTTGACAAAATGTTTGATTTGTTTGACAAGGTTCAAATACGTCCCTGGAATCTTTCTGACGCTGATTTTGTAATGGATGGGTCGCAAGCCCTGGACCCAAGAAAGACTATTTTTGTAGGGGGTGTTCCTCGTCCTTTACGAGCTATCGAGCTGGCAATGATAATGGACCGCCTGTATGGCGGGGTTTGCTACGCTGGTATTGATGTTGACCCAGAGCTCAAGTACCCTAAAGGTAACATATAGACAAACAAACTCTGAATCAGGGACTTCGCCACTGGTACAACTGGTCCGGTTTCAACAAGACAACCATTTTAACCGCAAGAACCATAGCTTTCTTCAAAAGATATTATATAGTGACAATCAATGTTTTTCCAGGAAACTTGGCCAATCTAAACCTAGTGGCTACGACTTCCTGCTATGATAATAACTGATTACCGTTGTATTCTAAATGTAGAATGCTAAACTATGGTGTTTGTTTCTAGGCGCTGGTCGTGTGGCTTTCTCCAACCAACAAAGCTACATTGCAGCCATCAGTGCACGATTTGTACAGCTTCAACATGGCGACATTGACAAAAGGGTTGGTTGAAACAAATCATCCACATTCATCGTCTTTACTCTTGTTAATCAGTATTCTATGTTTAGGTTGAAGTCAAACCATACGTTCTCGATGATCAGCTGTGTGACGAATGCCATGGTGCACGATGTGGTGGGAAATTTGCGCCCTTTTTCTGTGCCAATGTCACGTGCCTACAATACTACTGCGAGCAGTGCTGGGCCATAATTCACTCAAGGGCAGGTAGAGAGTTTCACAAGCCCCTGGTAAAGGAGGGAGCTGACAGACCAAGGACGGTTTCTTTCAGATGGTAATTCTAAGGTATAGAATATCTGGTCACACGTTCCCTACATGGTAAATACCTRATGACTGTACTACACGAGGGATCCTCACATGTGATCTTCAGTTAAAATCAAGTAGTTTGAAATTACAGGGAAGTATTATAAATTATATAGGTCTTGATTAATCTATAATGTCCGACGATTAAAACTCACATGTAAAAATGTACATGTAAACAAAATAACGGATCCAGCTCCATAGGTTCTACGCGTGACTTAAGCTGCCCAGTGATGAAACATAGTTCGTAAGCTTTGTTAGGGTAGTGTGCCGAAATGATCACGATGTAGTACGACCGTGGATGCCCAGTACTCATTTGTAATATTCTCCTGTTCTAATAGGGTACTTGTAACAAGAGGTCACTGATTTACGTTCACTTACATTGAGTGAACACCGTCATTTTGAGATATTTTTTGGAATGCTAATTGTATTATGGGTAATAATATCACGTGACCTTCAAGTGGGAGTTACTTTTTGCCTGTACATATTGCAGGAACTAGTGCTTACTGCAGCAAGATGACGTGAGCGTTAGTGTCGTAGGTTTGGTAGCACCCTTGCAACGTGTTTTATCTTTCTTCTCATTAAAGGTTTTTAGCTTCGTACTTTGCATAGACATGTAAGAAGTTGCTACGGAATAAAACTAAATGATTTTTCGATTATTTTAAATAAACGTGCTCAGTTGTACAGCACTATATACATACAACTAACTGGGAACACTTGCTRAAGCAAAATTATATAATATTTTGATTTGATAAACACAAATGAATTTTTAGAACAGATGAGACCCCTTTTCTAGAATAGTTCTACATTTTTAGCACTTTAGCACTTATAGTTGTACATAGTGGATCTGCTGTTTATAGAATCACGCTGTTAACTCGTGGATTATAATCAATACCTGTATATCTCGTTGTCGTGTAGTATTACATTTTGGTTTCCACCAAGTCGTTGTTATTATATATTAGCGAATCACTCACATGGTTTAGCTTTTGACAAATTATTTCCTAAGCGCAATATGAGTGTGGTTGTTAGAAAAATGCCAATCGATTCGCGAAAGGAAACTAAAAACATTTTGTTTTTGTCAAACAGTCCAAGTCGTATAGCTGAAATTACATCACATATTAACCTCTATGTAATTAGGATTTTATTTACACTTAAATTACACTATCAAAGCTTTGTTTAAAAAGTATGTCATATTTTCTTGCTGACTTTTTTCACGACTTTTAGCGTTTTCAAAGCTAATTAACTGCATAAAGGCCTCCACAGGCAGCCCAGTTTGCTAAAAGGGAAATCTAATATTGTCTGCGGTGATAGATTTATTTTTGCGAGTCAATGTCCTTATGTTTACGGATATCGTCTCATTCAATATTCCCATAGAGAAATGCCCAATAGGTGGCTAGATTTATTTTTGAGTGTCATAATGGACTCCGAAAAATAGCATAATAAACATGCTGAAATTATTATGAACAATTCATTTTCACCTAATCGTTTGTACTAAGGTGATAACGCGTACCCGATGGGGTCAGCCATGATTACAAAGATAAAGACTGGAACGATTGCGCAGGGAACTGGGTAATAAACTCAAATGACCTAACTAGCTCACTTTGGATTCCCAATTAAAGACAGTATACTAATGAGCAATAAAGGAACTGTGCAAGAGAATCAAATCAACTCCTACCAACATACAAATTAATGACTTCTACCCAGACCCTCGTTGACAATGTTCCTGACATTATCACCATTGAATAATTGAAATTATAATAATAATATTAATAATAATGAGTAATTATTATTGTTCCACATAAGTTTGTTGATGAACTCTTATATATAAAATGAAGATTTAGATTTGCGATATAGTCTGTCAAAATTTTAACAAAAATCTTCTTATCGTCATTAATATTATCTTTTGTTTTTTATAGCTTTTGTATTTACTAAGAATTCAAATAATATATTGCCTAATAAGTTTTAATTTTGAAAATATGTAGTAAAAGAAAGTACTTAGTACTTTGTAGTTAAAATAAATAAATATATCATAGAAGAGTGCGACAGATATTGTGTTCAACGGTGATCTTTTTTATCGCTATAAATTAGTGATGTCAAATATACAAAAATCTTTTTTTATACAAATCGGATACTCCAGTTTTGGATTTTGTAACAAAGTTCTTTGGAAAATATAGGAAATACAATTTTTGAATGAGAAATTATTTTCTTTCGAAAGATGATAGAAAAAGGAGGGGAAGAGGTTTAAGAATGAATGTAATCAATTTTGTAACAATTACAAATCAAATGAGCCTTTCCTCGATGTTTTGTACTTTCGGACTTCCCACTACATCATTCATTAAAAACTAACTTATTTAATAGACAATCATCGTCTATTTGTCGATTAACTTTAATTATTTCTGCATTGAAAAAAATTAAAGAACGTAGTTTAAAGCAAAACACAATTAACTTAAAAGAATCTCCATGATTGCGGTCGTTAAAGAACAAAACATCAGAAAGGTTTTGGCTCATTTAGTCTTTGCTGTTTTGTGCTGTCGATTTTGTAGAAATGCTACTCTAGTTTTTTCATGAATGTTCTATTTTTTTAATTTGCACAGCTGTATATTTTACTCTGCTAATTTATTGGATTTTTATACTCGAGAATCGTATAAGAAAGAACATGGTCGAACACCTATTTGTCATCACTATTCTGGGGGGAATTATATTCACTAGAAATACAAACAAATCAATAACTTTTGTAAATTAATTACCTTCATTTTTTCAAGGCAGACTTATGGTTTGTAAAAGACATTTATTTTCATAACGTTGATCAAAAATTTTAACAACTTCTTTACCTATGCAATTGCTTTATCAAAATAAAGACAAGAACCACCCAAAAAAAACTCCACTACATTTGTTAATAGTAACCAGTGGTACACTATATACCACGTCTTCAAAGTAGCATATCCTTTCATGGTAGATTCGAAATCTAAATCGTCCACTCTAAATTCTTTTGAAATAACTGTTGCTCTTTATCCAATGAAATTGTTTAAAGAATATGTTACTTTGATCGCTTGCACTAAATATACAGTTGTCTTATAAATGTACAGACATAATTTGTTTGTAGGAAATTCGGATCTGAACATGAAACCCAAGGAAACAGGATGTATGTACCATTCCACACTTCAAATAACATTTTGGTTGAAAATAATTAAGTGTTCTTCAAGGATGCCATTGACGACACGTTAAAGTCCCACAAAAACGAGCTTTATTGACGATCAGTCTAACGCTGTCATCGTCCAAAAGTGATTTGAACGATAAATAAGTATACATCTTGGTTTCTTGGAAACAAGCATATTATTCTGTGTGAAATTTTGTTACCAGAGTATATATATTATATATATTTTATTTTACAGGATCAAACTTTTAGCCGTTGYTATTATGATTATTTTTTCCATAGTAAAGGATATTTTCAATGGTATTTTATCTTTTAATATTAAACAATGTATAACTTGCCGTGTCATTTATGATTTAATTTGTGAACTTTCTGAATAAACTTTTACAGGAGTTTAAAAATGTTTGTTAATAATGTCACAACAGGCTTTTCTTATTTTGCAACCACATGACCAAGGAAATTTGAATAAGAAAATTATCGCCGCCTTGTTGGATAAAGGGAAATATGCAATGATTGAAAGGAATGCGTGATCTTTCTCAAAACGAGCTAGTGAACTTACTTCTATTTACTTACTTACTTCAACGCGCTGCAATGATGCAAACTGTGCAAAAAGAGCAGATAAAACCGAAATTTCATTGCGATTACGAAAAAATTGCTTTATGGCGAAGCATGCATCCAAGGTAAATATGACAATTAGATGTAGACATGGGGTTTGATGGAAGCAAAATAATACAAAAATGAATAATTAACTTAATATTTATTTTAATTGTATTTCATAAAATTCTAAAAATATGAAAAGATTCATGCATCTAGGCAAGATACTCTCATGTCAGCGTTATTCTAAATCAGATATTGATCCATCATATGACTGGAATGTTTGATCGGACTGACATCTTCTGTTTTGGAAAGAAACCAGCGGTTCAGGCCCTTAGTCACGAGTCGAATAAAGAAAGTCAGATGGCTTCAGATGCTAAGCTCCTGTCTTGTAACGAATGCCTTGAGATATTTTACCAGTACGATAGCTAGATTTATTGGACGATTGAGTTTCCTGTTTCGCCATTTAGAGATCTCAATTTCTTAACAATTGTCTCATTCAATTTCTTTTTTTCGCGATCTGACTTTCGAAGACTGAACCCTTTCTTCTTCTCAGACTCCATCAATCTGAAATACAAAAATGGCGACTAGAAGAAGACAAGACATTTTGAACATACAAATACAAACAAACAGAACAATGAACTAAACAAACAATCAACAAAGCCGTGCAAACGCTTTCAACATTAGTTTCAACATTCGTTTAACTTGAGCGTGTCTATACGGTCATTTCAACAATGTAGCACAAGCGTATTCGCGCAATCGCCTTCAACATAGACTTGCTACCACAGGGAGCCCAAGCAATGAATTTGAACCTATAATACTGTAGTAAAAAAAGTTTTTACTTAAAATGGTCTACTTTTATTTCAATCAGTGTCACAATGCATTATAGCCTCCCTTGAGGTCACTTCATTAGCATTTTCAATTTTCAAATGCCTTTAAGTCAGAAAATAAAATTCAAACAACTTTTTTTTCTTCAAAACAATTACAGGCATCATATTTGCCTTTTGTTAAAAACGATCTTTTAAAAGGGTCATAAAAGACTACAAGGCTGGTTACAGAGCGTCCACACCACTTGTCTTTGAAGGCCGAATAAAATATCTTAAAACCATCTTTTGCCTCCAAAATCCTCTCAGCAGCATGTCTCTAGGATCCTTCTATCCAGAATTGGGCAATATTTCAACGGACTTCAAATCCAGCCGTGCCAAATAGTCATCCCTCTGATTGGACGACAGTTACCATGGAATCAGTTCAAGTCCTCCCGACTACTACGGGGAGTGTAGGAATTTGTACAACTATCCCCAAAGGGCCCGCCAAGCCGAGGCCGAACGTACACAGCTCAGGGAAAACTCGTTCGCGCGCTTTTTCGAAGTTTTCAACCGAAGCCAGTTACGCTGCCAAGTTTATTTTCAGGAGCGATGCAAAGGCAAAGTCTTTCAAGCGTTATCAAATTCCTACACTCCCCGTAGTAGTCGGATCAACAAGTGATATCAACAAGTGATCTGGTGATTGACGTATGGCTACATGACGCGTCCTGATTGGGTGACTTTATGAGGCGTTGTGAATGACGTCACCGGTCGAAAACTCAACCTGCAAATTTGGCGCGCTGCAAGTCCGAAAAGTCCATTGTGCCAGGGGTCTACCTTCAACATTGCCGTTCAACAAAATCAAACTAATGTCGAAGCAAATGTTTAAAGCGCACACCCCATTTAACATCTTTCAACACTGTTCTGCAGCATTCAGCAAAATTTCTGAATGTGGAAACATGTCAAAAGAATTTTCGTCTGGCTTTACACTGAAACTATGTAGCTATACTACTCCAGGCCTTGGTCCCCACAGGTCCATCTTGGATTCATTATGCGCTATTGTTTTATTAGTAGAAATGGCGCTAGAGTACAAACACTAAAACTGTGCAACATAAATACCACTAAATACTGCTAAATTATGCTAATTCTATTGTTTTCTATTATTTAATTAGCACTATTTTGTAGTAAATAATGTTAAGTGTTGCACGTTTTTAGTGTTTGTACTCAATATAAAGATTATTATTAATTTATTATTATTATTATTTGATTCGCAAGAAAGAAATATTAGTGCGAGCGGTTATGCAATTGTGCAAACATGTGCAAGGAGAATGCAGCGTTCTYACCGCTCTTGAATTATTTTTACATCTTCAGCCAGTACTTACTTTTCCAAAAGTCTAGCTGCAGTTTGTGGGTTAACTCTATTATACTTGCTTTCAGTTAATCCATGGTCTTTAAAGAACGTTGACCAATCACAGCTAAGCAGTAAATCAACCAACTAACAAAGCAATCAAATACATCATTTGATGATCTCATAACATGCCGACCATACTCGTCTCTCTCTTCATCAATTTGGTATTTTCGTTTGAACTTTGTTGTTGTTGTTGCTGCTGCTGCTGCCGTTAAGTTAATTTTTTCAAWCTCATTCCTTCATGGCTGCACGTTTTCATCGAAAGAGATTCACCTAATTGCAAAAGTGTTGTCATCGAGAAATTTAGACTTAAGTAAAACGGAATTTATCAAAAAGGCAAGAGTATCACTCAGGCTAAACGCTTTCTCGTGTCTTTTTTAGGATTTTTCTTATTATTGAAGTGAAAAATAATGTTCGATTTTTATATGACAGCATTTTTGCCATTACGTTTATGTGCCAAAAACAAAACCTACTTTAGACAAACTATTTTTGAGGTAGAGTGTATGCAATTTGCATCCATACCTGACGTAGCTCAAGGAACGTCATTTGCAGTGTCCCATCACTTATACCTTCCACTGGATTGGAATTGGCAAATTCTGTCATTTAATGTATGAAAAAACAAAACAGCAGAAAATGTAAGCTTTCTTCACAAGAGGACATAAAGTGCTCAACYGATCGCTGCTATTGTTCGGACAATGTTGTTATTAGACGCGTTGCAAGGTCTTTAATTCATTATTCTATTGCAAGCGACAATCTTACCTTCACATTTTCTTAGGTCCTGGTTGAAGCACTGGATTCCAAATTCATTCATTTGCCGAACCTTCAATAAGACCAATGTATCAGTAATCTTTTAAGTTACCCCACCAGACCCAGTTACCCAGCGGACCAGGTTGTTTACCCACCAGACCTTGGTAGGTAACCCATCTTACCCAATAGGTAACCTTTTATCAGATCTAGTAGGTCAACAATTAACCCCGGTAGATGACCCATCAGACATGGCAGGTGACCTGTCTGACCCACTAGGTGACCCATCAGACCTGGTAGGTGACCCATCAGACCTGAAAAGTAACCCATCAGACCTGGTAAGGTGACCAATCAGACATGGTAAGTGGCCAATCAGACCTTCTTAGGTTACCCAACAAATATGTTAAGGTGACCCATAAAACATGGTAAGTGACCCATCTGACCTGGGAGGAGAACCATCAGACCTGGTAAGTGACCCATCAGACCTGGTAGGTGACCCATCAGACCTGGTAGGTGACCCATCAGACCTGGTACAGTTGGTGACCCATCAGACATGGTAGCTGACCCATCAGACCTGGTATTTGACCCATCAGTCATGGTAGGTGACCCATCTGACCTGGTACAGTTGGTGACTCATCAGACATGGTAGGTGACMCATCAGACCTGGTAAGTAACCCATCAGACCTGGTAGGTGACCCATCAGACATGGTAAGTGACCCATCAGACCTGGTAGGTGACCCATCAGACATGGTAGGTGACTCATCAGACATGACAGGTGACCCATCAGACATGGTAAGTGACCCATTTGACATGGTAAGTGAGCCATCAGACATGGTAGATGGCCCATCAGACCCTGTAGATGACCCAGCAGACCCCCATAGGTAACCCAGATTTGGAAAGGTCACCCATTAGACCTGACAAGTGCAGAATGATAGTACAGAGTAATAATGAAGTGCATGTCTTGCTCCTGTTCCTACACTATACCTCTTACAGAACACTTTACCTCCTCATCCAATAAAAGAGTTCTCATGCTTGAAGCAAGATGTTTACAAGATGACAGACAAGCTGTTTGAGCAATGTTTCCCTGCAAAAATAACATTCATAAGTATCTTCATAGGGAACCAYTGTGGCTCAAACAGAATTATCAGAAGTCTCTGAGCCAAGCTGGAGCCATGTTTAAAATGATTTGATTTTATAAGATTCACTAAAATTGCAAAGAAATTGTGGCTTCCATTCATTTTAAGAATTTTGCAAACATTCCAAACACTACTTCTAGGTGCCATAGCTAGAGAGAATGTTCTAACACTTTGTGTGATAACARACTTGAAAAGAGACTTGTTTTCTAGTACCTATTGACTTCAATAAACTGAAAAACACTCACAGGAAGAGCTGAGAAATTCAAAAATGTGCTGTTCAAATATGCTAATAAGTCCATAATGTAACTGCTTGGCTGTTTTCTTGGTCCAGATGGAACCCAATTGTAGTTGGCTGAGAAACAAACAAACTAATACTTTAACATTATAAAACCTTTCGAGCAGTCGTCTCACAGCTGTTTTTTTATACTGAGGTCCCAGTACCCCACCATGACAAAATGGCTGCTAGGAGACTACAGTCACATTCACAATCATATTTCGCTATTTCACTATGTAATGGCAATACCCAGTTGTATGAAGTCTTCGATCTTTTCATTCAGTCTTTCATACATTTGCTGCTCTATCTCAGCACGTATATCCTAAAGAGAAAAATGACAAAGGAATCAGTTAGTTTTTGGCTACTAAATAATAGTCTCTTTTAATTTTTCCAATTGTTAATGCAATTCTAAAGTTCATATTTATAATAAATTTTCTCATAAAACTACCGGTAGATTGTCTTACTTTAAATGTTGATAAACCATAAACCCGTGTAACGTTGACACCATCATTAGCTGTCCTGAACACAACACAAGTATACAATATAATTATTACAATTATTACAATGACTGACTATTAGCACCTTCCCCTCCAATAGATACATTACTTACCCTGTCACTTCTGAAACATATTCCTCTAAATGCAAGCAAGCTGCCTCCAAGTGCACAGTGTTTATGGATAATTGTGCAAGCTGTCAAACACCTCATTATTAGTCCTTATTGTGCACAGAATTGATAGATGAGAACAGACTGTACCTGTGGAATGGAAACTTCTTTTCTTTTGACGACTGATGTAAAACATCCTGATATTAAAACAAAGAAAAAAACAATACTTTCTAAATCAATGACATTAACTTACTACAGTCTAGTAGGTACTTTGAACTTTGATATGAACTGGATTGTTATCATTATTTGGAGACACATTCATATTTCCTGGTTAAATATGTTCAACAAGCAAGAGTCTTCAGTGTTGTAAACCATACTACTTAACCTAAAGGTTTTTTTCATTCTTAAGGTTATATTGACATTAATATGGGTAACAGCTCTTCTGATGGACCAAATACATTCAATTTACCATTTAAGGTCCGAGTTAACAACAAATTCGTTGATTTTCTAACTGAGTCTCCAATTTCTGTTTGACTGTTGAAGAACAAAAGTTATGACATAAATATTTAAAAACATGATTTGCATGTTGCTGGATGCTCAGCTCACCTGACATTGAGGTGTTCATTAAACTTCAAGCAAGCATTTATGAACTTTTTAAACTGTAAAACAAAAAACAAATAACCAAATCAGAAGTTTAAAGGATGGCCATCACTTTCTTCTTTCATTTTGTGAACTTACTTCTTTGTACAGTTTGACAGGACACTCAGAGAAAGGAAGCACCTTAGGCAAAGACACCTGCAAGATGGGAAATGAAACAAAATAATATAATCCACAAGTACTAACAGCATGTAGAGATAACATTTATTGAGCACTGTAGCACAGTTGCTATGTATTCCTTTTCAATTTTTGGAGTATGGAAATAACATTGTTGACAAACATACCTAACAACACCACACAAGAGTCATTACAGAGGACCATAAAGAGAGATAACTCTGGATAAAACATATGACATACTTACATTCTTGGTTGGTTTATCTGTGTAAGGAAATTCATTTAATACGTCCTGGTATTTTGTACATTCTTCAATATACATAGGCGAGTAGTTATCAACCTCTAATATCTGTCTGTTGATGGTGATAACACATTTGTCATCAAAATAATGATAATTGAATTTGATTTTCTAGTTCTTCTCGTCTATTGTCTGATGTCATGAAAATTGGAGTTGAACTAAATATAAAAAATAACTAATAAATATTATTTTTTGCTGTTCAGAACAGTATAGATACAGTCAATCCATTAGCAGATGTTGTTCAGTTGTAAAGACCTTTAAGACAACTGCAAGGTCATTTGCATATATCACACTCTTCATTTTGTTGACATTCTTGTTAATATCTATTATTTCATACTTGATTCAGTTTTCTTTGTTATTCATAGTGTTGTATCTCGCTTGTTCCACAGCTCATTGTGTATTCAAGTGCTTTATATCGAAGTTTCAGGGCAATATCTATATATTGCCCCCATTTGAGGGCAATATCTATATATTGCCCTTGAATACTAAAATGTATATTGCCCTTGAATACCTAATTAACTACTAGTACGTTCAACTTAGAAATTTTCCCTCTGAAACTTTAAACTTGAAAGAAAGAAAGAAAAATTCAAATGACACCAAGTAGATTCGAACTCACAACCTTAGCTTTAAAAATCCTATACTTGACATGTTATGCTAACTGACTAATCGATGTCAGTTATGGAATAAAACAGTTATTTGACATTGTCCAGTTACTTGTTACAAAAGGTATATTGTTAGCATTGGTCTCATGGGACTAACGAGAAAAATGGTTATGCAAATTATTCCCGTTGGGTTGTCAATACTGTAAATTTCGTAACCTTTCTAATCGAGGATTTGGTTTTTAATTCATATGAAAACGGCTTCTTTGCCTATTTAAAAATGAAAATATTAATGCAGTGCTTGGAAAACTTCTTCAAGTATAAAATAAGCCAGTTACATACCTCGAACGTCGGCAATCAGCCTATACACCCATGTATAGGCTGATGTCTCCGTTCTCGGTATGTAACTCTTACATATTCAATGAAAATGAGTAACTGTTTTATTCATACTTGAAGTCTCCTTCCCATTTCTTCATCAATGTTTCATTATAGAGATTTCTAGAAATACAAAACAATGATTAAACTCATTCAGCTTTCTTTGTTCATGATAGTGTTTATTTTCATTTGAAAATCCAGTTTAATAATGATGACAATTAATAAAAATAGTTATTTCACCCCTGAGAGATCTTTCCGACAGCAAAGGTAAAATCCCTCTATATATAAAACATAAACATGGAATAATTCAAGGGAAGATGTAATATTCAACTTGACTTATTGGTTTTTACTCAAATAATTATGTATATTTTTTGAGTGGATATTTGAAGCCCTATTTCCAGATCTTACCTCATCTCTATCAAAACATCATATATTTGATTAACATTGAGTCCATATCCCTAGAATAGGAACAAACAAAGTTCATTTTAACAGAAGTGGTTGATTGCTTATACTTCCTCCCCCACCCCCTCCCCCCCTTCCATACCCGGTTAGTTTGTGTTATTTGTATCTGTGGTACTTTCAGCTGATATAATATAATTGTAGGTGGATGGAGTTTTGAAGGTTGCTTGCAGAGGCAGTAGCTTTCATGTCCTTCCTTTATTTGTATTAATTATYTATTCGTATTAGATTTAGTAATTTCCTACTTTGGTGTTGTTTATCTGGCTTGGGTTTGTTTGATGTAATTTCTGGTTTGGCTAGCTGAGTGYTTTGTATTAGCTACTGCTTTCTTTGGTTTTGTAGGTTAGATTTAGGTCCTAGCCCATGTGCAAGCTCTTTCCGTTAGTCGCATTTTGTAGCAATGGCGCRTGCAAAACACTCAGTTTGCTGAAGAAGGCCGAAGTGCCGAAACGTTCATTAAAAAGTAGAAAACCAAGTTGATGAAATATCTAAATATCATAATATCGAGTGCATAATATCAAGTGCATGATGGGTAATCCCACGCGATGCCCTTAGTCCCTTGTCTTTGTAGTTTAGTTTTTTTTTTTGGAGACAGACTTATCCGTAGTTCTGAACATTTTCTCGATGTCAACAATGAATTATTCTAGCAAACCCGCGTGTTCTGGACAATATATGGATATGGATATTATGATATTTAGATATTTAGACAATTCTCATAATTTTTGCAAAAGGCTGTATANAGGAGGGTGAAGAGAGGAAAAATAAACTAGTACCACAGAACTGATATATAACCCTAAAAAAACTTTCAACTGACATAAAACAATACTAGGTAAAAGTTAAACTAAACAAATAAATTGAGACTAAAAATTCCTATTGAAAAAATGGACAAACGCCTAAGCAGAATAATTAATCCTATTTTTTGAGTTCGATTCTAAGCGTTTGTTTAAGCCATGAGGATGAAATGTAAAAAGCTGATGGCACCAATACGCTTCTCTACTAAGAAGATCTCGCTCAATATTTTCTAAATTGATTAACGACTCTAATACTATAAAGCTAAAATCACTCAAAGTATGTGGTGCACTATTAAAATGAATGGCTACCTCGCAAGTTTTTTTGTTCGTAAGCATAGCAGACTTATGATTGCGAAACCTAACTTTAAATTCATTCCTAGTGGAGCCTACATACTGCAATTTACACTTATTACAAGAAGCTAAATATATAACATTCTTAGACTTACAGTTTAATTTCTGTCTGATAAGATAAGATCTCTTAGTAACAAAACTGCTAAATTTTCTAGAAGACTGAAAATAGTTGCTACAGAGATCACAGCGTCGACTAGTGCACTTATCAAAAACAGTCTCACTATTATCAGTTAGGTTAGTCCCTAACCTATCCCTAAGTTTAGAAGGGGCTAAAATTTCCTTCAAATTTTTAGGYCTTCTATAGGCAGTAAAAATTCTTTTATTTGAAAAAATACTCTTAAGTAAATCTGTAGACTCTAAAATGTGTAAATTACGCTTTAAAATCTTATCAACATTAGGTAAATTTGTATTAAAATCTGTAACTAAAGGTATAACATTACTAAACTTATATATATATATATATACAGCTGTTTGCAGTAATTCTTACCCCCTCTGCCATATTTCATATATATCAAACTGACCTTAAATATTATGGGATATCATGACTGATATATTTTTTGAGTTGCCCAGAATGAGTACTTTCTAAAAAAATATCAGCAATGGTATCCCATAATKTCTAAGGCTACTCTGATATATATGAATATTAGTGTAGGGGGGTCAGAWTTAATGCAAACAGCTGTATATGTTTGCACAAAAAATCCAAGACATGCACAACCATAACAAGCAAATTGAATTAAATCAAATAAAAATTGAATCAATTAAGACCCGCTTCGTGCAAAAACCAGACAAAATTGAAAATTTTTGACAAATTTTTGTATATTGATAATGTACGATTAGGTAACAATCTGTAACAATCAATTGTAATTGGTTTTTGAAAATATTTCATTTTTCGCRAGAAAATTGCTAAACAAATGTCACATACTCGGCCTTTGCGTGACGAATGCTTGATTGCTAAAATAGCTCTCAAAACAGCCAAACTTCATACCAAGTTCTTGTAAAAAATAAACAGCCAAACTTCATACCAAGTTCTTGTAAAAAATAAAATAGCTAATATTTTAAAAATTTAAATTGCTGCTTTCTTACTAACTTAACTCTTTTATTTCATTGATTTTCAGACCATTTAATTAAAAAGAAAATTTTCTGGAACTCGAAAATCTTTGCATATGTATTTTTATATGCAAATTAGTACCTTTACAAAAGAATCATTTTTTTAATGTGCAAGTATTTTGTTTGCACTAAGATTCGGAGAGATGAGCTTTTTAAATACATTAAAATTAGTTTGGGCAAAACACTCTCAGTTGCATAGAAATGAATAGTTCTGGCRATAATAATTAGTTGAAACACCAAATTTTTTAAACAACCGAAATTCATTTAYATTGCTTAAAATTTTCAAAGAAAATAATCTTAACCCTCTGTATTTTAATAACATACATTTGATGTTAATTAGATGTTTATAACCTTTGAAAATTGTTTGGTTAATAAAACTGACAAAATATGTGTTTACACTGATAATTGTGTCTAGAATAAGTCATTCCTACACACCTGAGAGTGATTTGCCCAGACTAATTTTTATTTCTTTGTAAAGCTCATGCCTTGCTTAGTAATCACTCCAAATTTCATTGCAAACAAAATACTTGCACATAAAAAAAAAAATTATCTTTTTTTAAGATACTAATTTGCATATATAATTAATAGTGCATAATTATGTAAACACTTCCAGTTCCAGAAAACTTTCTTTTAAATTGAATGCTCTGAAAATCAGCAAAATAATTGAAAAAGAGTTTACTTAGAAAGCCACAATTTAAATTTTTATACTTACATTTTACATTTCACACAAGCTTGGTAGAAAGTTTGGCTATTTTGAGTGCTATTTTTAGCAATCAAAAATTTCTCACACAAAGGCCCAGTATGTGACATTGTTTAGCGATTTTCTTACGAAAAATGAATATTTTCAAAAACCAATTACTCAGCGATTGTTGCCTAGTACCAAATATGAATAGATTTGATTTTTCGAGCCTTGCCAAGATAAGTTTGATTTTTGCCCGAAGTGGCTCTTAAGCTGCCAATGGCAACACAACTCCAAGATTGACTGTTACTTAACAAATAGAATTTTAAGAAACAATTTATGAACAATATCATAGTTTTCTTTTTCAATATTTAAGTAATATAAGATTTTTCTGTGACTCTACCGGTCAAAAAGAGCACACATGATGTTGGGAGAGACACGAGAAAAGTTTTAAAGTCACGAGCCAGCAGGCAAGTGACTTTAAAACTTTTTCGAGTGTCTCTCCCAACATCACAAGTGTTCTATTTCAAAGGTAGAGTCACAGGAAAAACAATTCTATTACTTTTACGATATAGCATTTTGAAATTTTGATAAAAATATAGTTTATTTAAAGATGAATACAGATATTCTCCTTACATTGAGCGCATATTACGTAAGATGGTAGAAAATGTGCAAATTCACACTTTCAATCAAAAACTTTCAAACAAAATTCATGTGACTGTTCAAGTCGCTGAATGGCTTAATTAAGGAAGGGTCAATGAAAAGTAAATGAAAACTCAATGAAAACTCAAGGCTTGTAGCTTATGTAGACGTTCTCTACTTTCCAACTGCTAAACAGCGAGATATCTTTGTTGTTGTTTTGGGTCGCCGAGTTCAATACAGAGCTGACAACTGTCGTTGGGAGAGATAAAGCTAAGGTTTGTGTTTCTTCTTGCGGCTGATCGTCAACAGAATTTACTTCCCCAAGGGCTTGAGCCAAGACGTTACTACATTTCAAATATCGGGTGACCCATATGCAGATGCCGACAACAAAAAACTGTAGACTAAAAGAGCTAGAAATTGAGAGTAATTTTGTTGTTTTTTCGCTACCAGGGAACGACCCGTGACTTTACCGGCGAAATAGAGCATAGATTTTTCTAGGCTTTCAGCCAATCGGWGCGTGCATACTATCTAAGTTATATTATAATTAAAAGTTATATAGTTGTATAGTTTATATTTATTTATTTTTTCTAAATCACTGCAAGTGTCAAAAAGCAATAATAACAATCCCTAAGTAAACACAACTTCATCTCAACACCAATCAACGATTGATATCTCGGGAGTTCAATTAAAGCAAATTACAATAATTTCAACTAACAGCCAAATATAGCCGGTTTAACAAAGCAAAAGGGACAATTTCTTAAAATATCTGAGTCTTCATTGTTTCATTTCAATATTAACTTGGTTTCTCGATAAGCACAGGCCAGCACCTTCGAATCAAATTTGGTGGATAGGCCAGTTATCCTCATGCTTGCTTCGACCTTTGTGACTGAACAGTACGATGAATCAAATTATGATAACTTTTCAAATAGAATTGTAAGAGAACGATTTATGAACACCTTTTTTTCTTCATTAAAATCTAATTATTTTTAACTTCGATTCTTGACAACCAGGGCTGAGCGCCTGCACTTAAAGACAAGTCTAGCCGCAATTATGTAACATTGGTACACATGGCCAAGTGGTAGTGCCTTTGATTTCTAATCCAGAGCTCTGAGTTTTGAGACCCAGAGGAGCTGACATTTCTTTAGATTTCTTTCTTTGCCAAAAAATAAATAAATTCAATCAAACATAGAACAATAGGAAACCCAATAACGGTAAATCAATGAGTACATTACTAGAAAACATTAAGAATAAATTAGTAGTTCTGAACACAAGTAATGCAGGCTTAAGTTGACATGAAAGTGAGTGACTGAGTGAATGACAGATTTATCCCCCTCCAGTAACTCTTCAATTGCTTCACAATCTTCGAATTAAAAATGACATGCACATTTCTTGTAAGCTCAAGCTGTCTTACTGATAGAGTATAGCAAAACCAGACAATCAACTCTTTGACTTGAATAAGAAGGTCTGTTTCTTTGCAATAGGCCTATAGGAAATAAAATCTTATCAGATTATTGCAAGTATATAGTATAGTATATCTTAGTAATGCAAGATTATGACAATGAGCAGCACATGGTCAAAAACTAAGTGCACCACTTACAGATTGTGTCCTCATTACAGCAGCTATTTTGGATGCAGCCATATCCCAAAGATCATCAACAGTGGATCTAACAAATCATTGGTGGAAACACTCACGATTAGCCATGATCTTGGCAACAAATGTTTTTTATCACATCAATAACTAATGTGTAACTAATGTTCCAGAAATATCCATACCCCTACCACAGAGGATTTAGGAAATTCCRAGGAGGTGGAGGGTTAAAGTAGAATGACTACCATGCTAAAATTCTTGTACCCGTTTTTAMAAGTCTGCGAAACTAAAACTCAATACATGTACTTGTATTTTAAAAGAAGGTTGATGATAGAAAGAGGCAAAAGAATCCTTCTTTATTGCATAATTGTATAAATAAGATTCTAGATTCATTTGTTAGTCAAAGCATGTGGTTGTTTACACTCAAGTGACGGTTTGATAATCGGCAAAGATTTTAGGTAAAACACCAAAATCGAACATTTAAGATTTACTATGCTGAAAAAAAAATATAGCTATTCCAAAAAAGGTTGTTGGATAAAATGGGAATGTCAATGGTCGAGCGCGACCAAAAGTAGCCATGGGTTTCGCTTGGTAAAATGAAATCACAAGCGATTTGTACTGTAAGATAGTCTGTGGTAAACATTGACTCCATTTAGACGCCATTACTATGTATGGTGAATCCAATAGGTGAMATTTTGTTTATCAAAACAGTTTAACCATAGCCCCTTTTGGTCCCTTYAACAATTGCTGTTTGCCGTTCTCCCCAACAATGTTTTTTGAAATAGCTGTATATTTGGAAGGAAAATGTATTTCTCTGGAAGAGAAATAATTTCCTTAATGGACGAAAGGCCCTGGGCCTAGCTATCTATTGCGTTTATGTTAATTAGGATAGTGTTATGATTGAGTAATGTATTTCTCAATCATTGTGGTCCAAGACTCTAGTACATTACAAGGCAGCGTTTAAAATTTCTCTAGTTTCTACTGTTGGTAGTATGCCTTATAATACTAGATCTAGTTCTTGAAAAAATTTAATTAAGATATTGTGTTTGCTTTGCCAAAAAAAATGCGATTCGTTGGCTTGGACCGACCACCGCACTCTGTGCGCTGATCATTATTGGGACTTGAGGGAATGTTAGGAAAGATTGATTTCTAGATCGTAATAGAAATGCAAATTTCTATTCGAGATTGTACTTAGAATTCGCGAAGTCCATGGACATACAATATGTATATCAAATCAATGTGGTGCTAGACTTCGTTGTTCCATCTCCGCGACTTTAGTTTGTTATTTCTCCTTTGTTCTTCTGATAAAAAACATTTGATTTTAAATTACCACTAGTCGTATTTTAACTTAAAAAACTCGTACATGAGCTACTAGGCCAATAGAATGAGCCTATTTGGTCACATGCATGGACCTTTATATCTGATAAAACACTCCTTATTAGTATTCTTTATATAAAGAATACTAAATAAGGGTGTCCTTTATCAGATATAAAGGTCCATGACCCTAGCAAAGGTCTCAGGTTTGAAACCTGATCATTGACCAATGCAGGATGTGAACCGATTTCAGTGAACAGCCAAGAGCGGTTCTATTTTACTTTATGCGAATTCAATGTGGGATGACAAGAGTGCTTTGTAAAGTGATTCACGCATGATCAGTWTGCCCCATTTATCTCTGAACATATTAGTACGGCAATTTCTCCAAGAATTTTAAAGGATTTGAGTTTCAAGTTAGTGTTGGAGTTTTTTAAGCCGTTTAAAACACTCGAAATCGTGTTTTAAACTATACATAGTTAATGATTTTAATTATAAATGCATATCTTGTATTGATGGAATTCCAAGGGTGGTGGGGGTTATATCTGCCTTTTTAATGGAAATTCCGGGGGGGGGCATAAATAAAATATCCTCTGTGGTGGGGGTATGGATATTTTCTGGAGCTTCACAATTGGACTAATTCATCATGAAGTACTCATAGATAGTAAATCCATGATTACAACTTTCAGGTGTTGGAYGGGAAACTATGGACACTGAACTACACCAAGCAGTAAACTCCAGTGCCACGAAAATTTTGCTATCAATTGGAACTCCAATCATGATTTAGTAGTTTAGTAAATATTTGTCTTTACAGTGTGTTATCTTAAATCAGAGGGGGAGATCAGGTTGCCATTCTGGATTTCCAAGATAAAAGATAAAAAATGGTGAAATTTTCCATATATTGATATTTGCTATTTAAATACAGCTTTACAATTACTGACCTTGTAACTAGACCCTTTGCTGTGTGCAATATTGTATCTTCTACCACAAAGAAACTAATAAAGAACAGCACACTCACTGGTGAATCACATGTGAATAATTGGGTTTCGCAATCTCTTTTACACTGAATTTGGATAAAACTCGTGAAATGTCAAACTATTTTCATTGTCTTCTATACTCATGAATCTCTTGCATTTGCACAGCTTGTTAGTGAACAAAAGACTTTATTAACATGAATAACACAGAAAAGAAATTGCTAAAAGGCTTTATTAAATCCTTTAAACAAATACAAAGCAAGGCACCACTGACAATAGACCATGCTTACAGTACTTACAATATCACAGCTTACCCTACTATTTGATGAAAATATGCTCTGTATGCCTCAAGTGACTCATCCTACATACACAAGTTCCATTATTTTCCAAATTATGATAATTAAGTCAAAAATAAACTAAGAATGAAGTCTTACAATTGTTCCATGATTAGGCTGCAACACAAGTCTTGCTTGTTTTCTGCGTTGCTTTCTGTAATACACTTCAAAATTCTCCTTTTCTCCCTACAAACAWATTAACACAATGATAATAATTAACATTGTTATAATAAAAAAGATTAAAAAATAATATAATGCTACCCAAATTTGTTTTATCCTTAATCAGGTATCTAACAATTTACACAGTAACAGCAATGATTAAAACAATATTGGTTTGAACAGTTGATCTAGAGCATTTTTAAAGCCGCCTTGAAAATKTGCCTTTAGTAGAATACTGTGCCAAAGATTTGAAAGAGACTTATTTGAGATATCATGAAACTCCGTACAAAGATCCCTATTTTGATCARTGGAATCAGAGAATACCTTAATGTAGTCAAAGCTTAATTCGATATTAAATAAATAACTAAACAAACTTACTACAACAGTATAGATGTGGTAACATCTATATACAGGAGAGAAGTCAACAAGATCCAAAGCAGACTGATCTAACTCCTGAAACAAAAGATATGGTATTTATATTTTGACATCAAGTCCAATCGGATTGCTACAGACTTTATAGAGACTTACATCATCATCACCCTTCTTTCTTGTTCCAACACCATGTGACAGGGTAAGGTTACTTCTGTGAAATGCCTACCAAGAATATTGACAGGGATATAAATAGCTGTGAATCCCTTTATTAACAGAATGATGGCTAACCACAATAGCATGATCACTGTCAACAACATAATCACCCTCAACAACATAAATCACTCACAACAGCATAATCACCCTCAACAACATAATTGCCCTTAACCAGGAGCCCATTACTAGGAGCCTTCCTCTTCTTAACCGGTTCTTGGAACAGCATTTACCCTTCTTGGTGCTATTTTCAGAATTGCTCATGATTATAAATTCAGTGCAAAACAGCCGATCAGAAAGCGTCTTGAACAATGGGTTTCTGAATGACCAACCGCCAACAGCAGTTCTCAGGAGGAGGATCTTAGTGCTATTCAAAGTTCATTTTCATAGTTTTAAAGTTTACTTTTTTAGTAGAAATATGTCCCAAATAAAGGAAAACAGAATCACCTTTCGCTTCATATTTAGCCGATGAGGAAGCCAATGATAGAAAACAGGTGTAATTAATCTTGGGAATACAGGGGAAAATCTGGAGAAAAAACAATTGACAGGGAATATGAACTTTTTGTTGAGCAGCCGAAGACCAACAAAATTCATTGCTATGGACAGAAAAAGSAAAGCAAAACGACACAAATCTCACTGGATCTTTCACCRATAACCAGAATTTGAAATCAAATGAGGTTTATAATTGTATAACGCTTTWAAAGTGGCAAATTTTCAACTTGAGCAAACTCAAGCAAGTAAGCTTAAAGGAGAACTCAAATTTACCTTAATCCTATAGTTATTTGATTTATTTAGTTCCTTCTCAAAGATTACCAAGAGATTTTGGTGCATCTTCAACGACAAGAGAGAAATATGTATTGAAACTAGAGAAAATTACAAACATGAATACCGTCATCTTGACAGGCTCATACAGTACTGCCTAGAATCACATGTACCAGTTTGTTCTCGTGCATTTCGCGAACAAAACGCGAACATTGAACGCGATCTGTTCGCACTTTGTTCGCGATCTGTTATTTCATGTTCGCAAACACTGTTTATCAGTTACATACAGTCATGTATAAACAATTAATAAGTGTTAAAATCGGCATATACGTGCAAAAGAAAGCTTAAAATTCATGTCAAAAAGTCAACACAGGTCAAAGCTGTCACCTCTTTGGGTCAAGTAAACTCGGAGGTTTTTCAAACAATATTTTACTGGTTTCTCCCATCTAAAGCTTGATATAAAATACAATTGAAAATACAGTATTTCAAGTAAACTTAAGAATTGTGAATAAATGAACTTCGTTCATAGYAACTGTAGAACGAGAAGCTACGGCCAAGTTGCTGTATATCAGCGGTGACTAACGTAATTGCGCGCTTCAGGTAACTTACCAAAACAAAGAACTTTTCACTTATCAGAGGGAAAACATATTGTTTTAAGTATGAATTACTGTCCATTTTGTCTTTTTTGATCCATTATTGTATCCTGGGACAATGCAGTGTGGCATTTTTCTTGTCAAAATAAACTTCATGTAAAGTACCGGTACTAAACTAAATCTAAACTACAAAAATTGCAAACAAACACTTTGTTTTGAACTTAATTTTGAACCCTTTGCCTCGCAATTAGGGAGTTATCATTATTTATTGGGGGAAGGGAGGGAAAATAAACTTTTCTCTTTCTGATCGCCACTTACGAACACAGCTTTCTTTGATTTTAAAGTGCTGTTCCACTGCTCGATWTCCGTGGTATTGTACATAACTATCACAAACAAATTTTTTGTACATTTGTGATCTGCCACATTTTCTTTAGATGAAGAACTCTTATAAGAATAAATTATTTTGTGTTCACTGTGAGTCATGTTTTTTTATCAGGTTYGTCAGTACAGAGACCAGAAATGGCAATTCTTTCATGTATGAGCTATTTCGCTTATTTTTAATACCTTTTCATTGAATATAATAGTTAATGATCCCATGGAACCTTTSKTWMMAAAWWRKTTTTTTTTTGTAAAAGCAAAAATTTCTTCACTTGTACAAAAATTAATATAAAATTAACTCTAAGAAYACAGCTCTTCAAAACTCGGCATCTCAATAAGTGTGCGGGGAATGTTGTGAAAATTAAAAAATAGCAGCAAGAGGGGTAAATGCAGTTCCACAGCCCCATTTGTAGAGGAAGGCTGCTAGTAATGGGCTCCTGCCCTCAACAACATAATCACCCTCAACAACATAATCACTCTCAACAACAGAATCACCCTCAACAACATAATCACCCTCAACAACATAATCACTCTCAACAACAGAATCACCCTCAACAACATAATCACCCTCAACAACATAATCACTCTCAACAACAGAATCACCCTCAACAACATAATCACCCTCAACAACATAATCACTCTCAACAACAGAATCACCCTCAACAACATAATCACCCTCAACA